CTTCAGCTCCGCCTTTGACGAATAAATTGTTTTTCTCTTTGACGGATGAAATATTTTCGCTCGTTTTCCCTCTCCTATTCCAGATGCTCGATAGCATCTTCGGAGCTCTAGCGAGGATGCTGATCAAGTATATGTATGCGTTGTCGTTGTTGGTTGGTTTCTAATGTTAATTAAGCTTATTGCAGCGGTGAATTGATTGACTTATTTATTCAATCTTGTATTTGTTTTTGAAGTTTCTTAAAACCTGGCGGTGCAACTGTGCAAGCATAAACTGATGGTATGAGTATCCCCTATGCCACAATAGTAATTTTAGGGAGCTTCCAAGAATATTGAATAATGAGAGAAAATATTTTAGTACAATGATCTAACACTTTGCAAGGTGCTGATATAGTCATGTATCAAAAATTAGAAATGACAAACTTGTAGGTTCGCTGACCTATGGCAACACAAACACTAGAAAACGAAAATTAATTGTATTTATAAATCTTTAATCATAAAAGTTACTAACTGAAAAGATAATGAATAACAACACAAATCACAGAAAAATAGACAAATGCAAACACAATGATTTGTCTTGGTTCGGTCCTCCAGACCTACATCCAGTCCCCAAGTCAATCCCGCTTGAGATTTTCCTTTCCTTGATTTGTAAATTCACAAACCAACCTGACATTGAAAACCACAAGATCAAACCATGTTAAAAGTGGGTTACCATGTTAAAATATTTCTACCCAAAATACCCTCTAGTACATCCATTCATACATACATGCTCAATTTTTTTATAATCTCCCCAATGTTTGTACATCCATGCATACATATATGAAGGCATACATGCTCAATTTTTCATAACCTCTCAATTGATTGCCATCAATTTTTAAATTAATCACCCATCATAACACTCCTCCACTAACTCATGATACACTAACATTACTTTATGTGCACTAATGATAAAAAAATGTTACAACTATTCCTCTCCTACCAAATCATTATAAATAATAAGAAAATTTTATCAAATTTCTCCAATCAACATTCCAATTCGCAATTAAAATTTAGATTGATAAGAAAAGAGCCAAATCTAGCTCTCTCTGCTGCTTGCAACTCTGGCATTTTTAGCTCACTTTCTCTACGATCTTTATAATTTTCATGTTCTTTTCTTGATCAACATTGCTACAGACTAAGATCTAAGGTATTCAATTATTTTTTACCCTTTTTTGGAGATGATGTAAAAATAAGTGATTCATTTAATAAATAATAATTAAAGTTTCTATACATTCTCGCATTCTATTTTGTTCTTAAACCATAATCGTGCGACATTTTGTTAACTATGAGGTTTTTAGTGATTCTTTACATGATTACGTGCATTGAATTAAAGGAGCAAAAGGAAACTCATATCTTAATTATGTAGCTTAACAGTTTGAGGCTAAAATTATTCTATATTAGTAAATTAATTATAATTAATTTAATAATTTAAGTAATAACTAAGTCAATTTAATATATTATAACGACATATTCATATCAGATTCACTGAAAAAGTTGGTGGAATAAAATTGAATAATGAAAACGAAAATAAAAAATAAAGAGTATATTGACACTTTTACAAGGACGCAAATCTATTCATCTTTTATATCTTTTTTTAATATTGATTAGAAGAATTTGATTTGTTGTTTAATCTTTGAAACTTAATGTTGATTTGATTAATGAAGAATGATTTGATCTCTTGCATTGGCGATCTATTTTAACTTCTTAGTTCTTATAACATTTTTATTGAAATTTGTGAACCTAAAAGTAGCTATTGGTTTGGTGAAATTATGCTAAAAACTAATTAATTATTAATCTTGAGTCAATAAACTAGCATTTCAAAAACAAATTAGAATAAGTTATTTGCTAAGTAAGAAATTTTTGAACTTGAGTTATTAGGTTTATTATAAAAAAAATTCTCTTCTATGTCAATGTTGTTTACTGCAATCCATTAAACTATTGCGAAAGATGATCTAGATCAATAACTAGGTAATGAGAGGAGAGATATAAGACTGTTTTTCACATATATCTACTCCTATCATAAGTTTGTGGGCACAATAGCAAGTCAAGAATATTTTGATTACTGAATTGTCTGTTAGTTTAGTAAAATTATGTGAATAATGAATTAATAATAAAATTCGAAACCTTAAACTATCATCTCAAAAGGCTAATGAATGGCATGGCCATGGGAGGTGAAGAATTAGGCCATACATCTCTTTGGATTTATCAAAAAAAATTATTAGCTAACTAAGATTTCTTAACCCGTGTTAGAAGTTTCTTTTTTACCGATGTTGTTTCTTGCAAACAATTAAATCATAGCTCAACTTCAATTTAGATCAAGAACATGGTAATAAAGGAGGAATATATATATTAAGGATACCAATTTTTTCCATTAAAATTTCTAAATTGAATTAATTTTTTAGGGTTAAGACCAAATTACCCTTAGTTGAAATTAGCCTCCTCCCATTGTAAAAAGGTAGGTAAAAATATAAATAAAAAATCAATTAGGGTAAAACAAAGTCATTATTGACATGTGAGTAGAACATGCGAATACTCAGACATTCAAGTAACATAATATACTAATTTGCCATGTTTAAACAAGCTGGGTATATAAGTGCAAACTGATTTGTGAATTTTACCCTAAATAAAATGTATAAATTTTATGATTGGAAAAACTGATTTGATATCTAATAAAGTGTTAATGCAAATCAAACTAATTTGAAATACTATTATATAATAAAATTATACATTAGATACATAAAATTATCATTGCAGTGCGCACTTATAGCTTACATATAAACATGAAAAGTATCGGATAAAATAGATTATCAAATTAAAAATCATAATTCCTTAGAACTATCTTTTACCCTCTTTCCGTGTCTGCTATTAAATGTACCCTCTTTCCAAATAAAATAAAAACTTAATTTCTCATTGTATATAAAATCCAAAGAACATAAAAATAATACCTTTTTTTATTAAAGATTTCTAGTATATTCTGAGACTCTTTATAGTAAACTACCCTCGCAAGCACAGGTTTTCTCACAATATTAATCACCTGCAGGTTTCAAAAGCACATAAACGAACCGAAGATTCTTATATCTAGCCCTAAACTTCGTTGAGACTCGAAGTTGAAGTTGGATCCTATCTGAATAAATAATTGAATTGACATGTAAATTTTAAAGACTTTGTATGTACTAGTGACAATAAAAACAGCTAAGTAAAATAAAAATGAAGTTGACAAGTTCAACATTAGGTGGAAAGAGAACAATTAATTTTATAGATATATAGAAAGATAATGTATATGTCTCAGATGAACACAGTTAGTAGTAGTCATGAAGCTTAGCTCAGGGGGTAAAAGCTTGGGGTTGGCTTGTAGGAAGTCACTACATTCAACTCCAAGCTATTACATTTGCCAAAAAATCAAGCAGTGGGTCAAGAGGATTTGCATTTCATTTCACGCTTACATTTTTAATTAACAAGCATATACTCCCCCAAAAAATGCAGAGTTTTAACAAGCATATTGTTTGAAGCACAGAGAAAAGAAAAGATGATATCTTTGAGGGGGGCACCGGTAACAGGTTAGGAGTTTGCTTTTTTCTTTTTTGTTGTAATTTCTCATGGAGATTAATCCTCTATTTATAGGCCGAAATCTCATCATCTCCACCCCCCTCAAACTGCCTCTGAGAAATTTCCTCTCAATAAACCCCATATCCCATGTTTCTCTCCACTTGAGAAGCATTGATTTGGTCACACAAGACCAAGTCAGACTAACATCTCTCACTTGACCAAATCAACCAAGTGACATGCCTCCCATTATCCGTGAGATCGGATGTTTCTGCTTACCATTACTCCCACTATCCGTAAAGAGTAACTCTTATTTCATTATTCATGAAATTTTACTTGGACTTATTTATTCCTAAGTCCCATCAAACTTACATGTTTGATAAAAGATTCCGTTGGTATTCCTTTTGTCAAAGGATCAGCAATCATATCTGTAGTAGGGATATAAGTCACTTTGACTTCTCCCTTTTCTACAATATCTCGAATATAGTGACACTGGATTTCAATATGTTTTCCTTTGGAGCTATTCGCACCACTATTGATTAAGCTAATTGCTGCTTGATTATCACAATAAATATCAATAGGTCCTTCCAACAAATTGAGATCAAGATCAATCAAAAGCCGTCTTATCCAGACAGCATGTGTAGTTGTCATACTGCAAGCTATATATTCAGCTTTTTGCGTATATCTAGCAACACACCCTTGTTTCTTGCTACTCCAAGAAACAGCTCCTCCTCCAAAGATGAATAAGTGTCCCGAAGTGGACTTTCCATCCTCTTTATCACCTCCAAAATCAGCATCGGAATAACCGAGGAGTTCAAGCGAATCAGCTTGATAAACTAATATATGAGTCAATGTACCTTTGATATATTTCATAATCCTTTTAACAGCTTCCCAATGTGCTGGTCCTAGATTACTTTGATATCTACTGACTAGACTCATAGCATAAGCTATATCAGGTCTGGTGCATAACATTACATACATCAAGCTTCCAATTGCTTGAGCATAAGGAACATCTAATGGCTTCTTCCCCTCTCCAGGGCTTTTCTCTTTACATAATCTCTTTCCCATAACCAACGGAGTTGGTGCCGGATTAGAATTTTCCATTCCAAACATTTTAAGAACTGATCTTAAATATTTTTCTTGGTTTAAACTTAGCATTCTAGACTTTCTATCTCGAATTATTTGAATTCCAAGAATATATGATACATCTCCCATGTCTTTCATCTTAAACTTTTGCCTGAGATGTACCTTGGTTTTACTCAACATTTCTATGTCATTTCCAGCGAGCAATATATCATCCACATATAAGGATAATATATTAAACTTGCTCCCACTTTTTAAGATATATACACAATTATCTAATTTATTTTGAATAAAACCAAGTTTAGTAACTGTATCATAAAATTTGAGATACCATTGTCTAGAAGACTGTTTTAAACCATATAGAGATCTCATTAATTTGTAAACTTTATGTTCCTGTTTTTTACCTAAAAACCTTCAGGTTGTTGCATATATATTGCTTCCTTTAACTCTCCGTTAAGGAATGTAGTTTTAACATCCATTTGGAATAACTCCAAATCAAAATATGCAACAATAGCCAAAATAATTCTAATGGATACAAATTTAGCTACAGGAGAATAAGTCTCCTGAAAATCTATTCCTGCCTTCTGGTTATAACCTTTGGCAACTAACCATGCTTTGAATTTATCAATAAATTCATCAACACGATATTTCTTTTTGAGCACCCATTTGCATCATATGGCTTTTCTATTTATTGGTAGGTCACATAACTCTCATACCTTATTCTTTTCTATAGAATCAAGTTCTTCTCTCATAGATTCTAGCCATGAAGCTGATTCATGCGATTTCATCGCATTAGAAAAGGTTAAGGGATCTTGTTCTTCTATATTTGTATCTACCGAAAAACAGGATGACTCACATGAATACAAATAGTAATCATCCATCCATGAAGGTTGTGTTCTTAGCCTTTTGTTGCCTACAACCGGTTAATTAGACACATTAATTTCCATAGGTATTTCATCATTTTTAAGGTTAGGTTCATTCACAATATCAGGGTCATTAGT